ATTAACTTAAACCCGTGAATTGAATTTAAACTAAAAAAAGAAGAAGAAGAGAGCTTTAATCAATTAAATTGAAACTTTAATTTAACTGATCAAATTAAATAATTCCAAATTAAAATCATTTAATTAGTAAACCTAATTAACCAATTGAATAACTAATTTATTTAGATAATTTCAAAATACAATTTAAATTTTAACCTAAATTAAAATCAACCAAACATTAATTTGAAGCTTAAACTCAATTAAGACTTAAAGTTAATTAAATAACACTTAAATAAATAACATTCAACTCAATTAAATTAATGAGCAATTAAATTTAATAAATCATATGAATAAAATAACTTTAAAATAACATCAATTTGAGCAAATCAATTTATATTTCATATAATTTTAAATTACGTTTTAAAAAATTTTAAACTAAATTTTGAACAAATTAAATTTTAATTAAAATTCAACATTTTAATTAATCAACATAATTAATTAATGTAATCAATTAAATCAAAATAAAACATAAAACAAAAGAGCATCAAATCAATGTTTTTTAATTATCCAATCAACCTAAATATAAAATACTAAGCATCTCTCTAACAACTTTCTGAGCAAGAATAATGAGCCCTACAAACAACTCAACAAAGAATTCTAAAACTCTCAAAACAAAACTCAAACTTCCTCAGACCCTCAACAGTAGCTCTTACTATTACCTGTAAGCTCCCTGAACTGCTGCAAGTACCACGTACCTACAAACAAGCAGACAAAAGTCAGCACAATTATAAAACAAACACTAATTCTCACACACACATGCAATTATAATTCCACATAAAGTTTTCACACACATAATTAAGCAAAAAATATAAATAAAATTTTCTAGCTTGGAGTCTTCAACTTGCTCTTAGTGATAGGCCAAATGCCAATAGGTGTGGTGGACTTATAAAAGTACATTACACATATTGGTGTTAATCGAAACAATATGATCACCTAGGCTAGTATAAATCTTAGGGACTCTACCTAAGCCTAATAGTCCAATGTTGGTATATTGAATCAATTGTGGCACAATTACATATGATCTACATGGAATTTGTCACAATTTATAGGCTAGCAAAGGTCTCATTTAATTTCGTGACTTAGCTTATGGCTATGATAAACTAATTTCATTCTTACTTTAAGCTGCATACTCTTTTTTCTTTTTTTCTTTTTTTGGATTTTAAAGTTTTTCTTAACAATAATTACAGTTTTTTTATTTCAATTATGAAATTTCTATTAATTTTTTTTTGCAAAAAATTCATGTTGTTCTAATAATTTCATATGAATTAATGCAAGATTTGATATTTATCAGAGGATCATTAGTTTTAAGAAGCATATGGTGCTTCACCCTCTTTAACGCTTAATAGGAAGTGTCTTTACCCAACTGACAATCATAAAAACTTCATCAAAACTCACAGAAACTAGTGGAGTCTAAGGCTTCATTTGGGACGGCTTTTTTACTGCTTTTTAAAACAGAGTTTTAGTACAATTTTTTTTATTTTTGTACTAAAACTCCGTTTTAGAAAGCAATAAAAAAGCCGTCCCAAACGAAGCCTAAATAAGACTTATTTGAGCAAGCTAGGTATTATTCAGCTTTTCCTTTTAAATAAATGAGTCTGAATTTTATAATTTTAGGTTTTGCAATCCATCAAGCCAAATAAAAATTAACTCATGAAAACAAAAAATTCTCAAAATTGTATCTAGAAAATTTGTTCATGGCCAATTTAGTCACACGGCATCAAGTTGTTTTAATTTAACTCCATTGACTATACAAAATTAATCCAAAATAGCACCTCATGTTATAATTATGATATAAAATTAATTGATTTAGTTTTAAAATGATCATTTTGGATCAATTTTGTATTGTCAAAGAACTAAATTGAAGCAACATTATACTCTGAAACTAAACTGATCATATACGAATACTTTGGATATTATTTTCAAATTTAGCCCCTCGTGACCATAAATCTACTTAGAAGGCACATTTAAATATAAAATATGCATTTCCTTGTATGCGTGTGTAAATATATATAGGGTATTTGGTTGTCTGAAAAAAGAATAGTGTAAAAAGATACCTCTAGAAGAAAGAGTTTTTATTTGAGGAGATTTAAATGGACATGTTGGTAGAGAGGTGGATGATTTTAAAAGTATTCATTGGGGCTATGATTTTGGAACAACAAATGAAGGTGGCAAGACCATATTAGATTTTTGTTTAGCTTATGATTTTTCAATTGCTAATACCTTATTTAAGAAAATGAATGAGCATCTCATCACTTATAAAAATAAATATAGTACAACCCAGATTGATTATTTCCTTATAAGAAAATTAGATCGTTTAGATTGCAAATATTGTAAAGTTATTCCGGGTGAAAATTTATGTACCCAACATCTTATTAATTTTGGACTTTAAGATAAAGGTGCAGATAATAAAAAATAAAGTAAAACGATATTATAGGATTAAATGGGAGCATTTAAAGAATATTAACAAAAATATTTTTGAGAGTAAGATTTTAGATCTTAAGATTTTATCTGTGCATGAGGATGCTAATGTTATGTGGGAAAAAGTAGCTATTGATATTAAGAATATTACAAAAGATGTGTTTAAAGTATCAAAGGGAAAAACTCTTAATAGTAAAAATAATTTGTGGTGGAATCCAAATGTGCAAGACAAGATTAAGAATAAGAAGATTTGTTATAAAAATTGGTTTAATTTTAAAAATTATAATAATTGGGAAAGATATAAAGAGGCTTGTAAGGAATCTAAGAAAGTAATATGCGTTACAAATACCTTAGCTTTTAGTGATTTATATAATAATTTAGATACTAAGGAGGGAGATAGACATATGTATAAGTTAGTCAAACAAAGAGATAGGAGTAGTTAAGGATTTAGTTCAAGTGAAGTGTATTAAGGATGAAGATCAAAAAATACTTTTCTTAGAAGATGATATTCAACAAAGGTGTATGAGATATTTTGCTGAACTTTTTAATGAAAATTGTAAAAATAAAGTTGATTATAGTAACCTTAGCACCCTAAATGAAAATAAAGATGTTTGTCTTTATCGGCGTATTAGTAAAATCGAAGTTAGAGAGGCTTAAAAGAAAATGAAGGATGAAAAAGCTGTTGAACCTGGTGATATTCCAATAAAGGTGTGGATATGCTTAGGAGATGAAGGAATTTATTGGCTTACTAAACTTTTTAATACTATTTTAAAGACTAAAAAGATGCCAGATGAATAGAGAAAGACTGTGTTAATTCCTATTTTTAAGAATAAAGGTGATGCACAAGATTGTGCGAATTATAGAGGAATTAAGTTAATGTGTCATACTTTAAATTATGGGAGCGAGTTATGGAGCATAGGTTGCGGCGTGATACTAATGTTTCTCAAAATCAATTTGGATTCATGACAGGTAGGTCGATTATGGAAGCCATACTTTATTAAGATGTTTGATAGAGAAATATAGAGAAAATAAGGAAGATCTACATATGATTTTTATTGATTTAGAAAAAAGCATATGATAAAGTTCCAAGAGAAGTGATATG